GTGTGTGTGTGTGTGTGTGCGTGTGTATGTGCGAATTATTATTGAAATATCAGTTGCTCGAAGGGTTCAGGGGATCTCGTAGTCGAGCAGTCTCGACTAGAGCTTTCTTACTTGTTTTTTTTGTAAATCTTTGAGTATCAATTAGTAGAGTAAAGCAGTTTTCATAAATTTAATAAAAAATACGTATTCTTATTATGCTTGTCCTTTGGATCGGATTATAAATTTATTTGGTGAAAAAAGTTACAAAAAATTTATATTGATATATCCCTTTTTTTAAATTTCCATATAAAATATCATATTGATATTTTTACAAAACTTAAAATATCATCGATACAATATTTTAAAAATATTCGACAACCCTATGATTTATTATTAACAACTATAAATCATAAGTCGAATTACCATGACCTACCAAATATAGTCAAATAATTAAATATAATAAAGTACATATGTATATCATTATGCGATATTTTATTCTTAACTAATATATATTTTTTGATGTTTGTATCCCCTAGGTATCTTCGATCAACAGAGTTTTGAGGAACTTAGCAGCACAAAAGGAGCAACAAAGTGCTGGAACAAGTTGTTCCAACACAAAGCTAAATCCTAATCCTAGTACGAGCCAAGGCAATGCTAACAGCAGCGTTAATAGCAACAGTAATGGCAATAGCATGAGTGGCAAAAATGGTGTTGGTGTTGGCCCTAGTACTACAAGCAACTCAAATGATCTGATACAAACAGCAACACCGTTGAACTCTTCGGAAAGTGGAGGCGCTAGCAATTCGGGAGAGGGCAGTGAACAGGAATCTATATATGAGAAGATACGCTTGCTAAACACCCAACATGTGCCGACGCTCGATCCGCCCTTGCCGACACCAGCTGCGCCTCCAGTTATTCACGAAGAACTGATGACAAGTGTACCCAGTCATTTTAGTCCGCATCCGATCCACACACATAGCCAGCACCAGCAGCAACATAACCAGCACCAACAACAGAATTGGCAGTCGCGACATTATCCAACTGGGTCCTGGTATGCCACTCCTTTGAATGGTAGTGAAATGGCTTCATCAACAGGAGTGATATCAGTAACAGGGTATAGCAATGGACATCCCATCACTCCGCCAAGTGATCTCATCAACATTGGTGCCCCAACCGTTCGCTTGGATAATTGTTCTATTACAGGAGTCGATGATGTTATGCTCAAAAAGGGTAAGCAATAGATTCAAATCGAGTTATTTAAAATATGTATTTATAACAAGTAAGAAAATTCGAGTCGAATTGATCGTTAAAAATATTATTACCCTAACCAAATTAATATTATTTATATTTTGACATACATATGTATGAATTTTGCAAATACAATTCTGAAAATTAAATATTTTGAAACAATTAGAATAAACATAAATTGGCAAAAAGTAGGTTCACTGATGCAGCACCATGTAGCAAATCTAAGCTAAAGTAATTATTAAGAATTCCCGCAGTTCAATCGCAATGCTAAGTTGATTTATCTCTGTCCGTCTGTCTGTCCGTCCATCCGTCTGTCCTTAAGTTTGAACGCGTCGATCTCAGAAGAGATAAGCGATAGAGACTTCAATTTTTTTTAAATGTCCGTATTTATACTTCGCATATCGAGTTTATTACTAAAAATCGATAACTCATCCCGTTATTTTGTTATCGATA